TGTTGCCCAGGCCTCCCAGGTTCAAGCGATTCTCCTGCCTCAGCCTCCCAAGTAGCTGACTATAGGCATGTGCCACCACGCCCAGCTAATTTTTTTTTTTTTTTGTATTTTTAGTAGAGACAGGGTTTCACTTTGTTAGCCAGGATGGTCTCAGTTTCCCAACCTTGTGATCTGCCCGCCTCAGCCTCCCAAAGTGCTAGGATTACAGGGGTGAGCCACTGCAACTGGCCTGATGATTTTTTTAATGAGTGCTTACTCCATATTGTAAAATACAGAGAAGTAGAAACATGGTGGTTGACCCCAAGGGGGAAGGAGTGCTGTCATTTGCTCCTGAGACTGCAAGAGCAGGTGGACGGCTTAAAGAACCCATGGCGCAGGACCAAAACCTGAAATGCAGGATTCATGAATCCAAGTAATTAATAGTAGGGTTGGAAGTCTGAGGTGCACAGGTGAAAAAGCCCAGGGCAACGGCCAGAAGGAGCAGGTGCACAGAAGAGCGGGGTGGGGGGAGACTGCGGAGGTAGATAGCCAGGACAAGGAAGATAATCAGGAGGGGCATAGGCCATGTCGTTTCCCTCCTTCCTTCCTCCTCCACGTACCACATTACCACTGTCCTGTAAAGTTCAAATCAAATGTCACCCGCCCCATGAAGGCCTCCCTGATTTCCACAGCTGGCATTGAGCCCTCCCTCCTCTGTGCTCCCCTGGCTCACTCTCTCCTCCATCTGATCTTTGCCACACTCTATCTCCTCCTATTTTAACTTTTATCCCCCCAGACAGGGCCTTACTCTGTTGGCCAAGCTTGAATACACTTGCACAGTCTCGGCTCACCGCAACCTCTGCCTCCCGGCTCAAGCAGTCCTCCCACCTCAACCTCCCAAGTAGCTGCAACTACAGGTGCACACCACCATGCCAGGCTAATTTTTGTATTTTTTGTAGAGACAAGTTCTCACTATGTTGTCTAGGCTGGTCTCAACCTGGACTCAAACAATCCTCCTGCCTTGGCCTCCCAAAGTGCTAGGATTACAGGCGTGAGCCATTGCACCTGGCCCATATTTTAACTCTTTTAAAAATTAACTGGTGTTTGTCCTTTGCACTTTGCACTCCAGCATCCTTGAATGGAGACGTGATGGCTGGAGCTATGGCTACAATCTTGGACCACTGGGAGTCAGCCACACTTTAGGGAGGGCAGAGTGAGGAGCTGGAAGGACCTGACTTCCTAAGGACTCAGTGGCTCAGAAATGCCACACCAGCCCTGGACTGCTTATCTCCAGA